ATAAATTTTCAAAACCTCTAAAATAAACATAAAATTTATAAAATAGAATTTAAGAAAAAAAATACAAAATAAATGTGAATTTTATACATTTTATTATAATTTATTACATTTTTATGAAATATGATTCTTGTTTATTTATTTATCTACTTAATGGCAATAAATGAAACCTAGTTTCCTTTTCATTTACCACACTTGAAAATAATAAATGTAATTAATGAAGAAATATAATTAATAAAATATATTTAAGATATATAAAAGGAGAATTTCAAAAAAGTTAGAGAATATAAGATTTATTTATATAAAGTCTTGGAACGAGATATTTTAGTAATTTTTTAATTTGTTATAAAAAGATGTACAAAAAAATATGAAGAATGATATAATAATTTATAATATTTTTTTTTTATTTTTTGACTAAAATAGTTACTCTCCAAACAAGTGAATGTATAAATCACTTGTACCTTTATTATTTTATAATTATTTTTTTACTTTCCACTTTTTTGATATTCTTCCATATATTAAAAGTGTATAAATTTTAAATATTTTTTGGCTTTTTAGAGTCGGAATTTTTGTAGCTTGGGACTAAAAAATTCATTTGGCAATTTTTTTTTGGTTTTTATGATTTTTGTGAGTAAAAAAATGAAATAATTATAGTTTAAATGTGACATTTTGTCTAACTGACTAATTTAAATTGCCATTTGGCAATTGGCTTTTTTAGTTGGTTTTTTTACTTTTTGACTATTTTTGTAACAACTCAGATTTTTAATTACTCTGTAGAATTTATACTAATATTGTTTAATCTCAGTTTGGAAAATATATAATTTATTATATATTATTATGCGTAATTTTGTAAAATAATATAATTACTAAAAAGTTATGGATCAAAATGTAAATAATAATAATATAGATAATAATATTAATAATAATAATGAGTGTGATTGTAAAATAAATAATTAATTTTACTGTTGATATATGATAAAGTGTAATTTAATTAAAAATTCAATTATTTATATAATTATATTAAAAATTTAGATCAAAATGTAATTATCTTAAATATTTATATAAGATAAATATTCTCATTTCATAATAAGCAAATCCGGTGAAGATAAGAAGCAGATGCGCGAGTTGATTCGGCTAGACATGTGTTGGCCAGAGATTGAGTTTTTCTTCCTATAAATAGGGAGAGTTGATCAACTTGTGAAGGAAGGAGAGAAAGAAGAAAAGAAAAGAAAGAAAGAAAAGAGAGGAAGAAGAAAAAAAAATAGTGGAAGTTGAGAGGGTCTTTGATGGTGGAAAGAAAGAGTAATGTATTAAAGTTAAGGTGAGTTATATTAGACCTTGAGTCACCAAAATGTATTTTACTTATGTTTTGACTTACCAAAATCTATTTTATAGAAGTTATGTTTTATTAGTATATTAATAAAAGTTATGTTTTCTAAAGGTTTCAGTTAGGTGGATTATTTTCTAAATCCTATTTGCTTAAAAGGAAATCCATAGATATGTTTGTTTTACTTTGAAAGAATATTTGGTTATGACCTTATATATAATTATGTTTTGTAAGTACCACCACAGGAGTCTCATGTCTCGGGGGACTTAAATAACCATTGGCCTCTGTTTAGTTACTTTGTGGCCCTCTGATTCATTGACCTCTGTTCTGTGCGGAGCTAAGTGCTACACTATTGTGGGAGCCGCCTCTAGAATCCGTACGAGCCACCTCTTGAATCCGTACCTCTGTCCTGTGTGGAACTAAGTGCTACACTATTGTGGGAGCCACCTTTAGAATCCGTACGAGCCACCTCTTGAATCCGTATATCTGTTCTGACTGTCACACCTGTGACCTCTATTCTGTTCTGTTCTGTACCATGGTTATGGTTATTCACTTACATAATTTATGTATTTCAGTTTCTGCTACTTAAATGATCTGTTTATCAAATTACCGTGATAATGGTTATTTATTTACATAATCTCAGTTTTGCTACTTAAAGGATTATTTGTTCCGACTAAGTCATCTTAAATGTTTTGGCTCTCTTGATATAATATTTCTCACTCTGCCATGTGCTTATAATTGTTTACCAATTTTCAGGAAACATGTAATTCAGAAATAGCTTTTGGAAAGTCTTGGACACGGGGCTACGGAATAGACACACACAACACTTTTATGATATTTTTACATGTAAATATCGACCTTTTTTGTCAATATAATTTTGTAGTAAAAATAGAAGCTCCAATGATTATTTTGGTACCCTCATTTAAATTTTTCTTCCGCTCGCGTTTATTAATTTGTTTAAGAATTGGTCGTAGGTAACTTTAATTACTAGCCATCACGATGCTTAAACCTTGGGTACGGGGAGCGGGTCGTGACAGTTCTCCTCTATGTACTTACTCTCTGAAATTGTCTCCCCTCTCTCTCATCTCTTCACTCGCTCATCCTACCGCTCTGAAACTATCTCCTCTCTCTCATCTCGCCGCTGATCGCACCATCCATCTCCACCGTGATGTCTTCGACTTCGTCTTTTCTCTCAGCTGCCGGAGCTGCTCAACCACACACTACCACCACCGGCCGTGAGATCAGATCTGATTTGATCTGATCCATGTGTGCAAGACCCAGATCCATCACCACCACCACCACCACCGCCGCCCTACCTCATCTCTCTCTGATCTGATCCGTGTTTTTTTGTTTTTAAGTTGATGATGATAATGATGAAACATTTAAAAAAAAAAAATTTGTTCATTATACACATACTGATTTAATTTTTGTTTATCAAACATAATTTTTTTTAATCTGTTTTTATTATACATATATTTGTTGTTCTACATATTTGATCTATTTCACTATACACCAATTTAATTTGTTTGCATTATACACATCTGTTTTCAAACTTCATATTTAATCTGATTTATGCATATATGATGATGATGATGATGATGAACATATATGATATTGTTGCTGTTGATGAATATATAAGATCTGTTGTTGTTGAATATGGATGTGTTTGTTATTATTATTTTTTTTTGGCCAGGAATTTTCGGGATCGGGGACGGGGGCGGTGATACGCTTCCCGTCGGGGATCAGGGCCGGGGCCGAGGAAATTTCTACCATCAGGGAGGGGGAGTATGATCCCCGGCTCCGCCCCGTTGCCATTCCTAGTCTCTATCTTTTTTTTTTTTACTTTAACTTTCCATAATATTTTGAATTTATAAATTTTAATGTTTTGTTGGAACAACATTTCACTTAGTTAAAAGAAAAATTATGAGATTTAAGTAGTAAGAAAAAAAAAAAAATCAACTTTGATGAAATAGTAAGTGTAGTCTTAAGTTTAGTTTAAATGATTGATTAATCAAGTCTACTAAAATAGTAAGTAGAGTCCCATTAAGTAGTAAGTATTGTTTAAGTGATGAGTCAAGTTTGATAAAGTAGCAAGTAGAGTCTAAGTGAGTAATAAGTGTTGTTTAAGTGATAAGTCAAGTTTAATAAAGTAGTAAGTAGAGTCTCATTGAGTAATAAATGTTATTTAAATGAGTGATAAGTCAAGTCTGATAAAGTAATAAGTAGAGTCTCATTGAGTAGTAAGTGTGGTTCAAATGAGTGGTAGTAAGTCTGATAAAGTAGTACGTACGGTTTAAATGAGTGGTTTCCAACTTACTACAACAACTAAACACACTTACTACTTGATATGGTTGCACTTACTATTCCACATAATTACACTTACCATTCAAACATCAAGAAAATACAACTAACCTCTAAAATAAATATAAAATTTATAAAATAGAATGCAAAAAAAAAAGAAGTACAAAATAAATATGAAATTTATAAATTTTATTATAATTTTTTACATTTTATGGAATATGATTTTTTTATTTACCTACTTAATGGCAATGAATGACAATAAACGAAATGTAGTATCTTTTTCATCTATCACAATAAATGCAATTAATGAGAAATATGATTAACAAAATATAGGAAAATTTCAAATTCATTTGAGGATTCCATAAATAAAATTTGATGCTCATTTCTAAAACTTTTAAAGGTTTTAAGATAAAATTATTGTTGATTTGAAACTCTTTTTTTTTTTATTCAAAAAAAAAAAATTCAATAAAAAGAAGAAAAGTACAAAGAGCATCACAGAACACAGTCACAATCCCAATTAGGCTGGCATCCCTATTGTTAGCAGCCGGTGCAAGATTTTGAGTTGGACATTCGACATCAAAATATGTGTTGGGTTTAAATAGACATATTCTAAACATCAAGATGTGGCCATGAGTTGTTCACCATGAAAATAGACAAAGAGACAGAGGGAAGAGGAGAGAGCAGAAGAGAGAGAAGGAAAGAGAAAGGCACTATGAGTTTTGTTGTTTATCGGTAAACAAATCTTTTAAGTAGACAGCCGAGATCAAAAAGAAAGATCCAATGGCTCATATTAAGGGGTGATTTGAGATGATTTAAATAAGGGTATTTTTTTATTTTTTATAAAATATGAGTTGGGTTTGAAATGATGTGATAGAAAGGTAATGTGACTTATATAGGATGATATGACTTAAATAAGATCAAAACTCTTTGACTTTTTAATTTTTTTAGAAATGCCAAACAAAACATAACCTAATTTATGTATGGTGCATGAACAAAAACAACAATGATTTAGACCACTAAAAAATATACTACTAATAGCACTAATGTATTGGGAATGACAAAAAAAAAAAAAGAAAAAGAAAATAAGGCATAGGAAGTGGACGGAGTCCACTGCCATATTATTAGCGCTCCCTTTAATACTTCTTTTTTAGTGCTCCCAAGCATTTTTCTAAACAAAAATACTTGAAAATATTAAAAATGAAGCATTAATGAATTGGCTCCCTCGTGATCTAATGAGTGCCTCTGTTATTTTTTTTTAATTTATTTTTTAATATTTCCATCTCATGAGAGCTATTAATGCTCTATTATCAGAGCACTCAATCACTTTCCGTACATGAATACCATTTGCGTACTGTAGTTGGACCCATCTCTGACACCTCTCTTGGGCCCTATCTAAATTCATTTGCGTAATAACATTATACAGTCCTCTCCGATCGTACCTTTCCTAACATATCCTATCAGACCTCACTTCCCTTCCTTCTCTCCCCTCAAAAAACCCTAACCCCCATTGCTTTCCCTCTCTCTCTATCTACACATTCACACGCATACCACTCCATTGAAAGCAGCCATGTACAAATCGAAGCTTCAATTCTTGTGTCAACAGAAGTCATGGGATTTACCAGACTACTCCGTCACCAAAGATGGACCCGATCACATCCCTCGTTTCAAGGCTACAGTCATCGTCAATGGCGTCCCTTTTGAGACCGATGATCAGAGCCGAACTGCCAAAGATGCTCAGAACAAAGTCGCTAAACTCGCTCTCGATCAGTTATCTGCTCCGCCTCCGCCACCGCCTCCGTCCCGGTTTTTGAACCCTAATCTGAGTCTTAATCTGAGTCTCAATTCTCCGCAACCTTCTCTCATTCCAGAGGCTCAACTTCCAGCTTCGTCTTCATCTGGTATAGAAAGCCATCCCATAATGTCTGTTTTTTTTATGCTTATATATATATATATATATTTAATCTTCTTTATGCTTATATTTAATGTTCTTGTAAGTTATTGCTTTGATGTGGAGTAGATTTTAATCAAATTTGGTCAAAAGCTTGATGTGATATAAATGCGAATGTTGGGGATTAAGGGAAGGATTTGGTTCATCCTTGATTTGGTGAAAAATTGACTCTTGCCTGATTTAATGCAGAAATGGTTGCACGTTTTTAGATATTTTTTTGTTGAATTTGAATTTGATGAAGGATTGGAGATGCTCTTATATATAAATATTTCATTTTTTTTTTGCCCTTTTAAAATTCTGTGTTGCTAGTGAAACTGTATCTCTAGAAATAAATACAGAAAAATAAAAATAAAAATACAGCCAAATAGGCAAACTCTTTTTCTCGAAAGGAAAAATAAAAAAGAAAGACAATTGACTGAAAAGAAAATGCACTGTTTTTGTTTCAATGTCTAAAATATTTTCGAGGAGTATATTATATATATTTATGAAACTGGTCATGTATCTTGAATTAGATTTGGGAAATGATTCCCATTCTTTTGAATTCATGAAAAGCTCAACATAAGGCTTTGTTTTGTTCTTGGATTTGTCAAAGGAAAGGGAAAAGGAAAACCAAGTGGACAAAATAAATTCTTTTGCTTGTCTGGTTGAGCTAAGAAAATTAATAGCAAACCAAACCAAATCAAGCTAAGCCTTGAGTCCTAACCAAAAAAATCATTTTTTTTGTTTGGTTAACTAAATAAAATGAAATAGTTCAGGTAATTTTGTTTCCTTCCTTAAACTCAACAATCTCTAAACAATAGCATCACTGTTTGTTAGTTCTTTGTTATAGACAATGGTTATTCATGGGTTTTGTGTGTGCAATTTTGATAAGATTTTGAGCTTAGTTTATATTTTATTAATTATTTTTTTCCAGACATTGATTGGCATTAGGATTCAAAGCTTGTTAATCATACAAGACAAAAGTGGATTTCCTTGGTGTTAGTTTATATTTTATTAATTATTTTTTTCCAGACATTGATTGGCATTAGGATTCAAAGCTTGTTAATCATGTAAGACAAAAGTGAATTCCCTTGGTGTTGCTTATTAGGATGGTAAATTACTTTAGTATTTGTTATTTCGGTGGTCAAAGGCTGTTAAAAGGCTTGAGTAAATCTTATAGACCCTTGAGTCTCTCTTGGATTATGGTATTATTGATGCTCTTTCATTATATTTGCTTATGTATATAACCAATTCACTATGTTCCATATCAAATAATGTGTGGTTTATTAGGTTACTTCACAATTATATTCCCTTGATTCTCTCTTGGATTGTGGTATTATTGATGCAAATTTAATTGGAATCATATGGTTCTTTCATTATAGTTGCTTATGTGTACAATTTACTCTATGTTCAATATCAAATAATGTATGGTTTGTTGGGTTATTTGACAATGTTATTCACTATTCTCTGGTTTGTGAATACTGTTCTTCTGGAGAACGCAGACTTCGAGTATGGCATATAATAGCTGCATCATACAAATCCAAGTCACAATGATTAATAAAATTTAATTTGTTTTGAGTCTAGTTTCTCATAATTTTGCAGGTTTTTCATCTCCAACCTCATATTCAGATATTAATCCGTCCATTGGAGGGACAACACAACCAACCATGATAAAGGCTATACAAACTCCGCTGGTGAATGAAGCCTCCTTGAGAGTCAAAGATGGTAAGACAGGTTAGAAAATTTTGATTTTTTGACAACCATTTTCTTCTGATCAAGTAATTTGCATCACAATTTTTACATGGCAAATTGGCAATGCGTCATTGTTCTTAAGTTTGGAGGCCACTTTATATAAGCCTTTGTTGTCTTAGCGTTTCCATTTATAGATTACCCAACAACTGAGAAAAAATATTTGTGGGTGAGTTATTTTCATTTGTGTTACATAAATTCTTTAGAATAAATCATATACCCGTGTTGGACACGTGACAATTGGACAAGGGTGAATGGGATATGTATTGGACACTTTCCATCGAGCACACCATATACGTTTGGGATGTGGGTTGGGTTTTTTGCTTTTTTGACTTTTGTGAGAGAAAAAAATGTAATGATTATGGTTTGAATGTGTTGGAGAAAATACTAGAAACTAAACAATATTATTGATAAATGATGCAAAGAAAATGAGATACAAATAGATCAGGCTGAGGCACGGATATATGTTACACCTTGCATGTAATATCATTTTATCTCTTATAATAGATTAAAAATATAAAAATTAATCTAAAAATATTACACCTTTTTGATGAGTCTACATACCTTTAAATTTGAGGTTTGATGGGTCCGACCTCTAGATACACATCTGCACCCGACAAAATTTACCTGAGTCTATGTAACATAGGTTGACATAGCTTGTAGGCCACTGCTGGCCACCCCAAATGATAAAATTCTGAATATAGAAATATATGAAGTTGGACTATCTATAAAACTTTTGCATGTTGTGTCAAGAACCGAACAGTACAACATGCATCACAAAGTTCTATTAAGTGTGTGTGTATATATATATATTTATACTTTCAAATTTTCAATATATAAACCAACGGCCTGCAATCTCTTATCAAGGCATCACATCTAATTGTCTCTTCAAAATCCAAGTACTAACTACCCTAACTTACATTGTTTGAGATTAACTTCTGCTGTTAGGATTCTTGATGAGTTTAGCTTGGTAGGCCCAGTTGTGAGAAAGAGAGTCTTTAGCTTTGTTGTTATTTCTTCGTTTAGTTTGTATCTTCTTCATGTTTTCCATGTTATGACCACAGTTTAAGAAACTTGAAGTGCGACTATGGAAATGCTTCAAGTGGGACTATCTAAAAGATCTTGCATAATGTGTTAAGGGTAAAATGTTGCGACATACATAGCGAAGTTTTTCCGTTAAGTAATATACTCAAATTGTGGATTCTTTCTCTCTCTCTCTCTCCCCTTCCTTCCTTCTCATTTTTCACTTATTCTTTTGTTGTCCTCTCATTTTTTACTTGCTTTTTTGTCGTACGTTGTCACATTTTTTTTGATGCTCCGTTGATGTAAAAAAAAAAAAATAAAAAAAAATAAAAAAAAATGATCAACTAGGATGGTAGATTATATTGACAGTTTTTTCCCAATCCCTTTGAGCCTTTTGGTGCAATTTTCATATTTTTCTTCAATTTTTTAAAAAATGGGCCATTTTTTTTTTAACATAAAAATCGGGTGATATTTGGAGCTTGGTTGCTTGTGTCGACCTCTGTGGGCTCCAACTAGGTGTTTGAGGGCCTTATGTTGTTTTTTTGATTTTTATGTTTTTTCGTTTTTGTGTGTGTGTGTGTGTGTGTGTGTGTGTGTGTGTGTGGAGATTTTGGTTTCAACTGTGTCACATTTGGTTGCTGTTGTTTTTGCTGGTTCTGATGTGTTTTGGTTAGGTTTTGTAATGGTGAGTGGTTATCTAGCCTATAGAATTACAAAGTAATTTGGAGTAGTACTTGTTCAAATTTATGCATTTTTGGGTGCTAGGAAGTTATATTTTCCATTGTTTCAGTCTTTTTCAATGGTTTTCTTAGATATAATTACTGGTGGGTGCATCTGTTGGCACTCTTAATTTGTCTCTCCAAATTAGTTATGTTCTTGTGCTTTGGCAATAGAGCAATGCATTGGTGATATTTTGGTTGCTTGGTTTGATGCAACCCACCATTACCTGTGCTAGATTTGGTTTGCAGTGGCTCATACATACTCTTAGAGAAGTGGGGTGAGATGGGTTAACTAGAGAGAAAAAAAAGGGAGGAGGGGGGGGGGGGGAACGATGAATTGAAGCCAGTAATAGAGAGAGAGAGAGAAGGGCAGAAAATTATAGAACATAAGGCTGTCATGCGTAATAAAGAAGAAAAATGATGTAATAAGGAAGATGAAGGATGTAGTACAAACAATGCTTTCATGTTTAGATTTTTTAGTTTTAATTGTATAGAAAAGAGTGCTACATGAAGGAATAATGCAAAATTACTGTGTGCTCAGATTTCCAAAGGCCTCATTGTACTTGAAAAAAAAATAAAAATAAATACTTCCTCCGTCCCAAAATTTTAGTCTCTTTTGGAGAATTCAACTTGTTTTTTGGTAGTACAATTATTACACTTTAAAAATATGAACTTTTCAAAACTACCCTTTGACTTTTTTTAGGGAACATCAATTGTCATAATTATATATTTTGTGTATGAATTTAAAAGAAGAGCAAAATAAGAAATTCATGTTATTTTAGTCCTTGATTTTTGAAAAGGGACTAATAGTTTGAGGCAATAAAAAATGGAATAAGGGACTAATAGTTTGAGATGGAGAGAGTATTAAAAAGACGATAATGGTAAAAGGCATGTATTAGGAAAAATTCACATAGGGCACCCATAACCCATACTTGACCAAAATTTTCTCTAAACAATCCTTAGCTAGATTAACTACCTCCCAAATTCATGGTATGAGGGGTAGGATGGGCAAATTAGTGTTAACATTGTCCACACTGGCAATTTGGATAGGAAATGCAAACATTATCTAAGAATCCATAGGTGAGATCCTTATTATTGTAAGAAATTGAAGGGTGGTCAAATCTCATATATATAATACTGAATTGGACATCATTGCTTTTCATGGCTACGTGTAATGTTCAATAATTTTCTGCTTTCAGATGCACAACATTTGTACAAAAGTAGGCTGCAAAGTTATGCTCAAAGGAGAAATCTCACTCTGCCTGAGTATTCATCTGAACGTGAGGGCCCTCCTCATGCCAGTCGCTTCAGGTCTAAGGTTACATTTGATGGGAAAATCTATGAGAGTCCTGAATTTTCCCTCACTATTAAAGAAGCTGAACATGCAGCTGCGAAAGTTGCTTGGGAGTCATTGTCGCTCAATGAAGTTGAGGAGGCTAGTCTTTTAAACAATCTGTTGTGAATTTTTAGTATTTCTTTATAACTACATCACTAATTATTTTTCTTCCGTTCACCCAATTTAGGTCGTTTAGGATCTGCAAGCCTCACAAAAGCTAAACAACCCCAAACCCTCAAATAACCTAAATTTGGTTTATGCCCTCGCCACAACTCATAAGGGACAATTTTAGTCTTTTTGTGTGGCACTCTATTTATCACATGGCAAGCTGTCAAAATAGCCTCACCCCAAAAATTTGAGGGAGTACCTGAATCAATAACCATAGCATTCGTCAAGGCAATTAACGTTCTATTTTTTCTTTCAGCTACGCCATTTGATGAAGGTGAATATGGTGGAGTAGTCTCATGAATAATTCCCAATGACTGAACAAAAGAATTGAATCCTAGAGATTCATACTCCCGGCCTCTATCACTTCTAATTCTTTTAATCTTTTTACCGAATTGATTTTCCACTTCAAGAAGGAATTCTTTAAATTTCGCAAAAGCATCACTTTTATTTTTTAATAAATATACGTTTGTATATTTTGAAAAATCATCAATAAAAGTGATAAAATATCGGTTACCACCCCGAGTTAAAATTCCTTCAAACTCACACAAATCAGTATGAAATAATTCTAGCAATTCGGTATTTTTTTCAACACTTTTATGAGGCCTCTTGGTAATTTTTGCTTTACTGCAAACTTCACATTTCTCAAAATTTTTTGTCACTTTAGGAATTAATTCTAAACTACTCATGATTCCCACATATTTACTATTTATATGACACAAGCGAGCATGCCACAAATTAATAGAAGACAAAGTGTAAGTAGTGTCATAGTAATAATCATAAAATTAATCAACAAGTAAATTTAAGAGATAAAAGCGACATTTATACTCATCTGTATTGTAGGAAGCCACTTTTGCTTCATGTGCCTCATAGTCTTCATCATTCATCTCTTCGGTTGGGATTTTGTTCGGATTCTTTTCGGTAAAGATTTTGAGCTTAGTTTATATTTTATTAATTATTTTTTTCCAGACATTGATTGGCATTAGGATTCAAAGCTTGTTAATCATGTAAGACAAAAGTGGATTCCCTTGGTGTTGCTTATTAGGATGGTAAATTACTTTAGTATTTGTTATTTCGGTGGTCAAAGGCTGTTAAAAGGCTTGAGTAAATCTTATAGACCCTTGATTCTCTCTTGGATTATGGTATTATTGATGCTCTTTCATTATATTTGCTTATGTATATAACCAATTCACTATGTTCCATATCAAATAATGTGTGGTTTATTAGGTTACTTCACAGTTATATTCCCTTGATTCTCTCTTGGATTGTGGTATTATTGATGCAAATTTAATTGGAATCATATGGTTCTTTCATTATAGTTGCTTATGTATACAATTTACTCTATGTTAAAAATCAAATAATGTATGGTTTGTTGGGTTATTTGACAATTTTATTCATTATTCTCTGGTTTGTGAATACTATTCTTATGGAGAACGCAGACTTAGAGTATGGCATATAATAGCTGCATCATACAAATCCAAGTCACAATGATTAATAAAATTTAATTTGTTTTGAGTCTAGTTTCTCATAATTTTGCAGGTTTTTCATCTCCAACCTCATATTCAGATATTAATCCGTCCATTGGAGGGACAACACAACCAACCATGATAAAGGCTATACAAACTCCGCTGGTGAATGAAGCCTCCTTGAGAGTCAAAGATGGTAAGACAGGTTAGAAAATTTTGATTTTTTGACAACCATTTTCTTCTGATCAAGTAATTTGCATCACAATTTTTACATGGCAAATTGGCAATGCTTCATTGTTCTTAAGTTTGGAGGCCACTTTATATGAGCCTTTGTTGTCTTAGCGTTTCCATTTATAGATTACCCAACAACTGAGAAAAAATATTTGTGGGTGAGTTATTTTCATTTGTGTTACATAAATTCTTTAGAATAAATCATATACCCGTGTTGGACATGTGACAATTGGACAAGGGTGAATGGGATATGTATTGGACACTTTCCATCGAGCACACCATATACGTTTGGGATGTGGGTTGGATTTTTTGCTTTTTTGACTTTTGTGAGAGAAAAAAATGTAATGATTATGGTTTGAATGTGATAACTTTTAACCTTAGGCTAAAAAAACCTATTTTTTCTTTTTGTGATTAAAATAGCCCCAACCTAACCCAAACTCACATGCCAAACGAACACTTATATTTAACCGTATTGTTATATGTATATTATGTTGTAGAATTACTATCATTATATGCATTTGTTGTATAATTACTATGAAATGAGTGAATACCTTTTTGATACTATATGTTACACCTTGCATGTAATATCATTTTATCTCTTATAATAGATTAAAAATATAAAAATTAATCTAAAAATATTACACCTTTTTGATGAGTCTACATACCTTTAAATTTGAGGTTTGATGGGTCCGACCTCTAGATACACATCTGCACCCGACAAAATTTACCTGAGTCTATGTAACATAGGTTGACATAGCTTGTAGGCCACTGCTGGCCACTCCAAATGATAAAATTCTGAATATAGAAATATATGAAGTTGGACTATCTATAAAACTTTTGCATGTTGTGTCAAGAACCGAACAGTACAACATGCATCACAAAGTTCTATTAAGTGTGTGTGTATATATATATATTTATACTATCAAATTTTCAATATATAAACCAACGGCCTGTAATCTCTTATCAAGGCATCACATCTAATTGTCTCTTCAAAATCCAAGTACTAACTACCCTAACTTACATTGTTTGAGATTAACTTCTGCTGTTAGGATTCTTGATGAGTTTAGCTTGGTAGGCCCAGTTGTGAGAAAGAGAGTCTTTAGCTTTGTTGTTATTTCTTCGTTTAGTTTGTATCGTCTTCATGTTTTCCATGTTATGACCACAGTTTAAGAAACTTGAAGTGTGACTATGGAAATGCTTCAAGTGGGACTATCTAAAAGATCGCGCATAATGTGTTAAGGGTAAAATGTTGCGACATACATAGTGAAGTTTTTCCGTTAAGTAATATACTCAAATTGTGGATTCTCTCTCTCTCTCTCTCTCTCTCTCTCTCCCCTTCCTTCCATCTCATTTTTTACTTATTCTTTTGTTGTCCTTTCATTTTTTACTTGCTCTTTTGTCATACGTTGTCACATTTTTTTTGATGCTCCGTTGATGTAAAAAAAAATAAAAAAATAAAAAAAAATGATCAACTAGGATGGTAGATTATACTGACAGTTTTTTCCCAATCCCTTTGAGCCTTTTGGTGCAATTTTCATATTTTTCTTCAATTTTTTAAAAAATGGGCCATTTTTTTTTTAACATAAAAATCGGGTGATATTTGGAGCTTGGTTGCTTGTGTCGACCTGTGGGTTCCAACTAGTGTTTGAGGGCCTTATGTTGTTTTTTTGATTTTTATGTTTTTTTGTTTTTGTGTGTGTGTGTGTGTGTGTGGAGATTTTGGTTTCAACTGTGTCACATTTGGTTGCTGTTGTTTTTGCTAGTTCTGATGTGTTTTGGTTAGGTTTTGTAATGGTGAGTGGTTATCTATCCTATAGAATTACAAAGTAATTTGGAGTAGTACTTGTTCAAATTTATGCATTTTTGGGTGCTAGGAAGTTATATTTTCCATTGTTTCAGTCTTTTTCAATGGTTTTCTTTGATATAATTACTGGTGGGTGCATCTGTTGGCACTCTTAATTTGTCTCTCCAAATTAGTTATGTTCTTGTGCTTTGGCAATAGAGAAATGCATTGGTGATATTTTGGTTGCTTGCTTCGATGCAACCTACCATTACCTGTGCTAGATTTGGTTTGCAGTGGCGGCTCATACATACTCTTAGAGAAGTGGTGTGTGTGTGTGTGAGAGAGAGAGAGAGAGAGAGAGAGAGAGAGAGAGAAGGGCAGAAAATTATAGAACATAAGGCTGTCATGCGTAATAAAGAAGAAAAATGATGTAATAAGGAAGATGAAGGATGTAGAACAAACAATGCTTTCATGTTTAGATTTTTTAGTTTTAATTGTATAGAAAAGAGTGCTACATGAAGGAATAATGCAAAATTAGTGTGTGCTCAGATTTCCAAAGGCCTCATTGTACTTGAAAAAAAAAAAAAAAAATACTTCCTCCATCCCAAAATTTTAGTCTCTTTTGGGGAATTCAACTTGTTTTTTGGTAGTACAATTATTACACTTTAAAAATATGAACTTTTCAAAACTACCCTTTGACTTTTTTGGGGAACATCAATTGTCATAATTATATTTTTTGTGTATGAATTTAAAAGAAGAGCAAAATAAGAAATTCATGTTATTTTAGTCCTTGATTTTTGAAAAGGGGCTAATAGTTTGAGGCAATAAAAAATGGAATAAGGGACTAATAGTTTGGGATGGAGAGAGTATTAAAAAGATGATAATGGTAAAAGGCATGTATTAGGAAAAATTCACATAGGGCACCCATAACCCATACTTGATCAAAATTTTCTCGAAACAATCCTTAGCTAGATTAACTACCTCCCAAATTCGTCGTATGAGGGGTAGGATGGGCAAATTAGTGGTAACATTGTCCACACTGGCAACTTGGATAGGAAATGCAAACATTATTTAAGAATCCATAGGTGAGATCCTTATTATTGTAAGAAACTGAAGGGTGGTCAAATCTCATATATATAATACTGAACTGGACAGACATCATTGCTTTTCATGGCTACGTGTAATGTTCAATAATTTTCTGCTTTCAGATGCACAACATTTGTACAAAAGTAGGCTGCAAAGTTATGCTCAAAGGAGAAATCTCACTTTGCCTGAGTATTCATCTGAACGTGAGGGCCCTCCCCATGCCAGTCGCTTCAGGTCTAAGGTTACATTTGATGGGAAAATCTATGAGAGTCCTGAATTTTCCCTCACTATTAAAGAAGCTGAACATGCAGCTGCGAAAGTTGCTTGGGAGTCATTGTCGCTCAATGAAGTTGATGAGGCTAGTTTTTTAAACAATCTGTTGTGAATTTTTAGTATTTCTTTATAACTACATCACTAATTATTTTTCTTCTGTTGTGTATATTTGGTTTGTTTAACAAAATGTTAGGATGATTCTACTGTGTACAAGAATCTCTTACAAGAATTGGCTCAGAAAAAAGGTTTCCTCGTTCCGAAGTACGAAAGAACTGTTTCTGGTCCACCTCACATGCCAACTTTTGTCTCAACTGTGGCAATAGGAGGAGAGTCTTTTCAAGGACAAGCAGCAAAGAGCAAGAAGCAGGCAGATATGAATGCTGCAAAAGTTGCTTACAATTGCCTTCAAGAGCGTAAGTAACTTGTTTTTCTTATTCGTGTGTTTCTAGTTTCAATCAAAAGGATGATTCTGGTCTAATTTATTTGGCTGATGATGCTTCTGTTAATCACATTAATACTTTTAATGTATTTGCTAATGCTTATGTTATGTTCTTTGGCAATTATGTGGTTTTTTTTTGGGAGAAAGGAATAGAATGTTTGAGGGTAGTAAATTTTCAATTTTGAAGTTTAAGAGTACATTTTTTATTATATTGTATAGGTGGTTTTCTGGGTGGTTTACATTTCCTTGAACCAATTTTTTGAACCTTGTAGAGACCCTAAGTAGCACACATGGACACGTGACACGACACTGACATGCTGACACATCAATTTTCAAAAAATTTAAGACATGAAATGCTTGTGACATGTTAAAATTTTATATTTTTACACATCAATTTACAAATTTCAAACATTAAGATATTATTCACATAACAATTACATTCTTATAGAAAGTTGCAATGCACATGATGTATTCATTTTATTAATGTTTCAGAACATATTTGGAGTGCATAAAAGAATTTAGAACATTGTTATTATAAAGGTACTCATGTAATAGGATGTATTCAAAGGGTTCAGAATTCTGTACTAATTCATCTGTGGAATCACATAATGAGCCAGCAGTTGGAACAGGTGGAACAAATACCTTATCTCACTAGAGTATTCGGTTCACTCTCATGCACCAAACATGAAATTTCCCAATGGTGCCACTGTGTTGTCCTTAGTGATGCTGACAAATGGGTGGCTATGAAGATGAATTGAAGCCAGTAATAAGAAGCTTTGAACCTGCCATTTCCTTCTCTTTTGTTTATGCTGCCTAGTTAAAAAATCGTGAACTTCAGATGGTGATTTAGACATTTATAATCGAATGCCTGTCGCTTAAAGCTAGTAGTTTGGATCTTTTTTCTGTTTTTTGTGTGTGAAAGTTCTAGTTAAATTTTATTTATATTTTTTTATTTGATCAGTGACATTATGTAATTTGGACTTCTTCCCTGATATAATCTGTTGTTGATTTTGCTAAAAAATTATTTCATGCATCCACATAGAAAGCTTTCCATTCTGCACCATGTCTCTCAATATTTTCTATTTTATGGACACTTACCAACACCATTGCTAGCTTGTTTCCATATTTTCATATCTGAACATCTGTCTCATAGACAATGAGTGGTAGCTGTACTAAGCATGCGTAGTGTTTGAAATGCTGGTATAATATCCATTCACAAGGGTTTATTTACTCAATCTAATGATACTGTTGTGCTGGCTGTTTTATTCAGTAATGAATCTAATCTCCTTTGCATTGTATGTTATGTTTTGAGAAATGAAAATTTGGTGAAATGTGTGCCCTTTTTTGATGGATTGCCCAAGTCATGTTCATGGTGTCATGCGAGTCTAGGACTTTTTACGAACATTTAGTTTGAGGAGTTGGACAAACAGGTTTACAGATCTCCATATAATTAATAAAAAAGAAAATAGTGGTGTTATATTAGCTTTTGGAGTGATGCATTTGGATATGTTATAAATTTGCATTTTGGCAACATATTTGATTGAAGCATATGACAGTTTTAGTGTGCTGACAAGATACTATGCCATCTTTGTTTCAGGTAATAAAGCAAGTGTGGCCCACACAGTTCTTTCTAGTGTGACCCCCACAGTTCTTCCAAGTGTGACCCCCACTGTTCTTTCTTCTGGATGTCAAATAAAGAAAGCTTTGGAGGACTCATCTTCCATCCTGCAGTCGGTCATCGCTGGTGATTTGCAAAAGAGTGTCAGACCGGAAGTCAACTTCGTAAATCATGAAACGAAGGACGAGGAATATATAGGTGACTGATTTTCTATATTATAACTACTATTGTTTGCTTTCCATTTGATCTGAGTTGCTCTGGGACTGCACACCAATTGCTTTTGATTGTTCAGGCTTGTGTAGAAATCTTAGTCTAAAATCACTTTGATTGGACATTCCCAACTACCTATTTAAATTCCTGAACGAAGGGAACAATTTAATAGATATGACTATTGGTGTCAATATTTTCCCAACATTTCATCATTCTCCAACTGGATGGCTCTTGACGAACATAGGACTCAGCCTCAAATTCAAAACTTGAATCTGGGTTGGATTTTATAATTCCTTATAAATGAACTTAATTGGAAGCTACTACCTTTAGTTATTCATATTGTGAAAGGAGCATAGGAAATCAAGTCAGTTGCTTTGGACTGTTGGCATTATAAGACCAGCGGTGCTTTATGGGACACAGCGTTTGCATAAAATGAGTGTAGCTAAGATGAATACTTAGATGGATATGTAGTAAGATTAGAAAAGATAGAATTAGAATTGAATATATTTGTGAAATGTTTGAGTAGCATCTATTGAAGATAAACTAAGAGAGAACATGCTACAATGGTTTGGTTATGTACAATGAAAATCTATAGATACAATGGTAAGTAAGCGTGATATAATCATCATAAGCGGAGATACTAGGGGGAGGGGAAGACCCAAGTTGACATGGGATGCGGTGGTGAAAAAATATATGAATTTTTTAAATTTAACTTAGCATATAGCCCTTTATAGAGTTGAATGGTGAAAATGATTCATATAGCCAACCCTACTTGATTGGGACACAAGGCTTAGTTTGGTGGTTTGGTTTGTTGGCACTATAATTTATGTTGCTTGGTTTCTGTTTGAATGTTTATTTTGTATTGAATTTTATTGTGCTTCTCGAACCAGCATCATTGTGATTGGTATATAGAGCTTTCATTACAAGTTTATTAGAATTGGGTCCATATTCTGAGACTGCAAGTGTGAAATACATTTATCGTATCCTTGTCTATCAGATAAAAATGAAGGACAATGCTCATCCAAATTGACTACTGTAAATGCCAAAGTTAGCACTGGTTGTGTTCCTGCCCCATCTTCAGATGCAAATACCAATGCAAAGAGATGTAGATATTCTCCTTCACCTGACCGCATGTATGCCTCTTTGCGTGATCCATTTCCTTCGACCTCTTCCTCGCCTAGTGATGGTGTGTCTTCACCTTCACATTCAGAAGGCTGTACTAATTCATCTATGGACTCAAACAATGAGACAGCTGTTGAGGCAAGTGCAATGAATACCTTACCTCATGAGAATATTGTGGTTTACCCTAGCACGCAAAACATAAAATCTCCTGATGGTGCCACTGTGTTGCCCTTCAGCGATGACAAATGGGCAGGTTATAAGATGAATGCAAGCCAGTAATATGAAGCTTTGAAACTGACATCTCTTTGTTTATGTTGTCTTGTTAAGAACTAGTGAACTTTCGGATGGCGATTTAGACATTTACAACCAAATGCTTGTTGCTTAAAGCTAGTAGTTTGGATCTTATCTTAGTTTGTTGACTAACTTTTATGTGTTGAAAGAGTAGTTTGGATTTTTTCTTAGTTTGTGGACTAACTTCTATGTATTGAAAGTTAGTCAAAAACTATCACCGAATGTGCCCTTTTTTTTTATCAATTCAGGTGAGTGAAAATGTGAAAAATGTGCATGTTTTGTGGGTTTGGTGGTTTGATAGGTTTTACAATGGCAATTGAGGGCATGTTTGATTGGAAGGATTAGAGCATGAGATTGGGATTATTAATCCGTAGGCCTAATTATTCCATGTTTGTTTTGACAATTTGTTTTAGGATTATTAATCCAATGGATAATTAATCCAACAAATTTGTAGGATTATTAATAATGGGGGTAAGGGTGGGATTGTGAATACCACACTAATTTGATAAGATTATTTATACCTCATTATTAGTCTTGTAGAATCAAACAAGGCCTTTAGGTTCTTGTGGTTGGAGCTTTTGTCTCCATTGGGCTTGGGAAGTTACACGTCTATACTACTGTATAAAGAGAGGACTAATGGTCTTTTACGGTGGCTAATATACAGCCCTCCGTGATCAATAGTGCCCTCGACTTGCTTGGCAATGGTCAAAATTAAAAAAAAAAAAAAACTAAAAGATTATTTATTTATTTTCTTTTCCCTCTTTTAAATTAAATGATAACAAGAGATGGTAAGGAATTTATCTCAATTGAAAGATGGTGAGAAATTTCTTTTTACTCTCAAGCCCCATTTGGCTAGAAGGAATTGTGGTGTCTCTATGGCTTGCCTAACCTCTTTTCTGGAGAAGGGGTAAGCTCTTATCCAAACTCGAATGCTTCAAACCCATCCAAACTCGATTAACAGGTTGCATTGTTAAAATATTACATCTACTCAAAAGTAGGAGAGGAAAATCATGAGACGAGGAAATGGAGAAAAATAGAGATAGGTTCTACCAACTATCTTCTCCACCAACCTCCCTCCACTATTCATGCACCATTCCTCCTTTCGTTTCCTCCAACACCAACCCACTCTTATATCTCCACCCAACCACCTCTCTCTCTCTAAATAAAAACATATACACGTGTATTAATTCTGTCTTTCTTTGTCCAACTTTGCTTCACAGGGTGAGACCATGAATGACATATGCAATAATGCTTTGGGAGGAAGGGTACAACCTAGGTGGAGATGGATTTTCATAAATGCCTTTCAAAACTTGATAATCATAAAGGTCTTAGCTAAACCTTTTTTGTGGCTACAATATAAAGAAGCATTTAGATATTTGTTGATGATCCATGACTGAACAATTGATCTATATATTCTGAGAGGTTTATTGGCTTTTGAATTGATTCAGCAACCATGACACTCTTGATTTTCTTGAATTCTGTGACTCAATCTTGGTTGACAATAACAAAATAGAGATTTCATTAATGCTATGATCTTTCCTTCTGCGTTGGAAACCTCTTGCTTGGTCTACAATCTATTTCCTGGCATAAATATACACATATTTAGAGAGAGAGAGAGAGAGAAAGAGAGGAGGGGGGTGACTAGAAAGAGAAAAAAAAGAGGGTTGGTGGTGGAAAATGAGGGAGGTGGCCGGAAAAAAGATGACCAACTAGATTCATGTCTTTCTTCTCAATATCCACCTGAACATTTCTCCCCTTGTTGCAAGTCATGGATTAGTAGAAGATAGAAGTACTTCATTTAATCTTATCTATGATTTTTAATTCATTAGTGACATCATATATGTTGATGTTACTATTGCATTTAATATTTATTCAACGATTCTAAAAGAATAGATTTCAAAGGGAATTGACATAAAACTTCAAAAAAAAAGTACAATGAACTAATAACATCTCACCAAATAATAAAGGCAAGTCTTTACCATTAGAGCTTTAATGATTTTTTTTTTCTTGTTTATTTTGTGATTGTATGAAATAACTTTATTTACAAAAAACAATTAGAGCTTTATCATGATTCATCATGCTGTATTTTTAAGAAAATGATTTGGAAGATGTTTCTTGCGGAACATCAATTCTCTAACTAGCACACACTACATTAAAAATAATAAATACTAATTAAACTAATAAATAATTGTCTTTTCTCTTTCATCAATCTACCCACTTAGCGAATACATAACACATAATTAGTGCTATGTAAAATGTAATGTCCGATTATACCCAAATATAATACGCAAAAGTGGTCACCCTATCACTAGTGTTTAGTGTTCTGTGAAAGGCTAAAAAGCCTATCAACAATCCAAAATAAATCAAATTGTTGACAAACTATCACAAAAAACAAATTCATTCAATTACCTCCATAGGTCAAGAACAACCCAAAATTGATTTCATAAAAAAAAATTAAACCCTAATTTGAACTACAAAATTTGTTGTCGCCAGCCAAGTACCGCAATAATCAGAATACAATTATGTATCACACTCACATGAGGACTCCTTCAATATTAGTAAATGCTTTCTTTGCAATCTTGAATTTTCTGGCAAGGGATATTTCATTACCAACAACATACTTATTGATGAAGAACTCTACACCATTTCGAAGGGATTCATACTCGGGGCTAGCTGCTATACGAGTGAATACATTCCAAACAAGGCTATCAGGATGTTCAAAGATGGCCTCGAATAGCATCTGAAAATGCTTTATTCTTTTTGGAGTCAGCTGCGTTGTATCACTGAAATCAACGGCCTTCAAGACTGCTAGAGAGAGGGTGAAAGAGGTAACCATTTCTGCAACAAATTTTGATAGATGCATTGATCTCATCAACTGCATCGACTCCAGTTCCTTGAAGTGGTCCCATAGGCAATACTGTGAAGTAATATCAGCAGCAAAAATAAATAAAAAAATAGAAAAAATAAGATGAGCAAGATAATGAAAGGAAAAAGCTTTAGGCTATTACTGTGTCCTTTTCTTAGATTTCTAATTAATTCATGTTCTTTTTGGCACAAAATATGAAATAAACATTTCTGAGAGAATTAATCCAAATACTAAAAGTAATACCTGCAAAGTGATCTTGTGGTTTTTATCATGGCTACATAACTTGATAGCAAGAATGGAGTAGTACTTGTTAAAGACTTGCTCCTGTAAACAACACTCCACGAGCACTCGCATGATCTCTCTATCCTGTAGACAAACAAAAAAAAGTAATGAAGATGGCAAAACAAGTAAAAATAAACCACCCTGCAAAGTGATCTTGTGGTTTTTATCATGGCTACATAACTTGATAGCAAGAATGGAGTAGTACTTGTTAAAGACTTGCTCCTGTAAACAACACTCCACGAGCACTCGCATGATCTCTCTATCCTGTAGACAAACAAAAAATAAGTAATGAAGATGGCAAAACAAGTAAAAATAAACCACAATCCATAAAAAGATCAAGAAGACAAACAGACGATGCTTACCTGCTTCCCTTGCAAATCCAACCTTAGAAGTTTCTCAAAGGCATCAACATAGTCCTCCCCACTCATTATTACACAGAAGATTGCTCTTCTAACGTCTGTGTTCATTCTCTGTACAGCAGCAAGCTGTAGCAGTTTCTGGGCTTCGAGCGACTCCTTGTCAATTGTGCTTGCAACCTCTTCAAAATTGCTAGTTGTGGACGCCATATCCCCAGACAACCACCATTGGCCTTTCTTGTCAGGATCAACGAGCTTGCTCCATTTGAGCCCTCGAATTAAAATACCTTCTACCCTCAGCTGCAAACACACAATCAAGTTAAAAAAAAAAAATAAATAAATAAATAAAGATTTGACAACTCATCAGGTTCTTCAAGACATGATGCACCTACAAAAGGAATAACACCCTTCATTGGTTAGCATTTGACTGATGGGTTTGATTAATTTAAATGAGAGACCATAATTACAGTTTCGATGCTGTAAAAGCTTAGAGATGGGTAATAAGGGTAAATAGCAAAAGACAGTAACCAGTAATTGTAACCTTCTTATAACCTAGTTCGTTCATTCAAAGCAGATAACATTAACTTAACAATTATCATTATTAATGCTATATCCTTTGTGGCAGATGCAAAGAATTGTGTTCCCATGTCTTCTTTCCAAATATCCTAAATGAAGATAACTTCTCTACGATGAGGGTGTTATGTGTGACGTGTCAAACACAGTCATAGTTACTTTACAAACGCGTCATGCTTCATAGCTGGTAAGCCATGCTGAAGGCTGTAAATTCAGTTTCCTACCAAAAATATACCCTGTTGATATGTTGCACCTCTTCAGCACTGAGTGGATTAGTGGTGCAATAGATAAGGTGTGCAAGGCATTACTCTAGCCCAGTGCTAGCTTAGGGTTGCAATGCAATAGGATGGCCTTAAGCTCATGGATCAATCCCATGCAACAAATTAATTACATAAATACTGAAAAAATATCAATTTGCAAGACCTTCTGTAGCCATTTTTTTATCCGTGTATGCTGTGGAGTATCCTCTTTTGCCCTCTTTTTGTTGTTCTTTATATCAAATATGGTTTCAAGCATGAACTCCATCTGCGAGGATTATGGAGTAAGCAAGTTGCAGACAGGAAGAACAAACAAGTGAACAATAGAAAAAATATCTCATATATTCATGCATGCATACCCTTTTGCTACTTGTATTTGCTTGGCCATTTCCAGAAGAGGCCTTCAACTCATTTGCTCTATTCTGCACACTGAGAACAAAATCTTTCATGGCAGCAGGGTCATCACCTCTTAGATTCATCCCACAGCCTGCTCAGGCAGAAGCAATTAAAGTTAAAACATAAATTGCTGCTCTACTATACTAGCAATGGCATGTTTTGACATTACTCAATACTAATCTAATGCTACTATAAGAAGTCAATGTGGTACAGACAGTTCATTCAGTTAAAAAAAGAAAAGAAAAGAAACAAAACAGCCAAGTGCGGGTAATTTGTGGTTGTAAACAAAATTAAAAGGTAAGTATTTAAAGTGCAACCAATTGAAAATTAACATCCAAATACACACAAACTCATGGAGACCACATACTTCTATTTCTTCGTTCTTTTTTTCTTTTTCTTTTTTAATAAAAGAAGTCAGAGAGAAACCAGGACCAATTATTTAAGTGGCTTACACTGTAGAATTGTCAAGATAGTAGAAACATCTATCTCCATCAACCGCTTGCTCAGCATAATCATGAAGTCATATATCAAATCACTGAAAAAGATCAACAATGGAATTGCTTGTTTAGCATAATGTGGTTGCTATAAATATTTAAGACAAAGCTAAATGACACAGTAACTGAAAGTAAGTATCTCAGTGATCATTCTCAGGTAAAGACATATAATGGCAAAGCAACTAAAAATAAATAAAAAGAAGCAAGATCAATCACACTTTTTTAATAAAAGAAGTCAGAGAGAAACCAGGACCAATTATTTAAGTGGCTTACACTGTAGAATTGTCAAGATAGTAGAAACATCTATCTCCATCAACCGCTTGCTCAGCATAATCATGAAGTCATATATCAAATCACTGAAAAAGATCAACAATGGAATTGCTTGTTTAGCATAATGTGGTTGCTATAAATATTTAAGACAAAGCTAAATGACACAGTAACTGAAAGCAAGTATCTCAGTGATCATTCTCAGGTAAAGACATATAATGGCAAAGCAACTAAAAATAAATAAAAAGAAGCAAGATCAATCACGAAAATTCAGCTGATACAATTATCATAACTTTGTGACAATCCAGCAGTTGCCATATTGCCTGATCATGCTGTAAAGTGCTGTGGTCATTTTGTTGAAAAAGGGAATAACTCAATTGCTCAAACAACCAACGCTAATCAGAAGCATGAAAATGGATTTCATTTCCAGTATTGTGGTGACACTCACTTTTCTGGCCACAGGGTTTGGTAATTACAGTACTCCTGAACCCGAAATTATGCAAAGTGCTAGAGTGGTATTGAAAGCATAATCCAGGTTCTGCTAGGTTCAGGCTTATTCACATGCATTTGAAAATTTCAATAAGCCGTACTGCAATAACAGGCAACAGACAAAGAGATAGTCACAACGGCAAAACCCACTTTGAAAGGGAGTTCCGGGACATGCTTTTGACCAAAGTTTTTAAAAGTGAATGCGTAATGTGAGGTGTTTTACCCCTCATGAGGTGAGGCGTAAGCATTTCAAATTCTGAATTTTTATATTTAATAAATATTTTAAAACAATAAATAAATACATCAAAATTAAATATAAAGGTGTACGTACTTTTATGCTCAAGGTTCACTGCAGAGAAGGAAGCTTTGCTTTATTGAAAGTGAAATTGGTATTCTTAGCTTAAGTGATTGAGCTTCTCACTGAGCATTAACTTTGTTTCTTCTTGATTGGCCATTTACTTAATTTTTCCTATAGAATATAATTGTAAAAGGGGTTCTTTTTTTATTTTTTATGTTTAAACTATCTACTAGAGTAAGTTTAACAAGACCCTAAGACAAACTCTCCATATGTTTACTCACATGCTTACGCGTAAAAGGCATACAAGACGCACCTAATGTGCATGTCTCAGATTGTGTGTGCAAGCCTTTGGGGAGTCGAGCCTAAAAATCAAAGCCTTGAGGCGTTTTCCCTTAGCCTTGCCTCAAGGTGAGCATTGAGGCGAGCCTTTAGCCGTTTAAAACTTTGCTTTTGACAATAGGCAAATTTCATAGTTTGCTTGTATACTTTCATTTCTAGCAGAGTCAAGAGGTCACAATGATAGAAGTTACTCACCTTGAGCAAACTCCAAAAATGTATAAATAAGACAGTAGAAGTGTCACGTTTCGCAGAGAAAGATTGTCTTCTTCTAGGTACTCATCCTGGGGAAAAAAAAAAATTAAGAAAAAAAAGAGGTCATTTTCAGTAATTTTCTGAAAGTTCCAGAACAAAAGGCTTGTATTCACACAACTGTGTGAGCCTTCAAAAATGGCCTACACTATTTTATTATATATATATTTAGGGGGGTTTTTTTTCCTTTTGGAAAAAAAAAAAAAAAAGGATTAGTGAAATCCTATTCATTGCAGCTTTCTCTAGACCTCCAGGAAAAGCATGGAAAAAAAGAAAGGCTTGATCGTATGATCCCTTTGTCACCCAAGAATGAAAGGGGTGACCTCATTGTTCTTGGCATGTGAAGATGCGTTGTTAGTTTTTGTTTTTTTCATTGATGCCAAACCTAAAACTATGCCTGAGAGATAGCTGTCCATACACTAATATAGGGATGCATGGATTCTCAATAAGAGACGAGCCGTGATAGTTCCCCCTGGACTGCCTGAATCTTACAATTGATTGTTGGAAAGGTGAATACTTCATGTAGCAAAATAATAGAAATCCTATTCAAAAAATGAAGCACCTCAAAACATTTAGCTAGGGAAGCCAAAAGCTTTGCACCGAAGTCCATCCCAACCAAAGAAGCCATGCCTGCAACAAAAGCGGCGAAAACAGCAGCATACCTTCACATAGAAATAAGGACAAAAATATCAATTGAGAATACAACCATATGAAGAGAATAACAAATAAATCAGAAAGAAAAAGGGCATCGCTTAAAATCAAATTGTACAACACAAATGGCATGGAAATCTATCAGATTTAACAAAAAGAAAGTTATGTGCATCCTAAGGAAGAGATGATAATAAAATGTAGCATGTATTTCAAGCATTTCAAGGGAAAGCCGCATAAAAAAGATACCCTATTTCCCATGCCACTAGTCACATAGCACTAGGGGAAATTGATATTTCCATTCTTACAATCATACAGAATTTGGTTTGCTTTTTAAAACACATTTACATCAATTCTAAAAAAAATAATTTCAACACAACAACTATGCTTTTTGGATACTATTGGATTCCAAACCACCTTACTGCAAGAAGACACAAAATGTAGCATGTATTTCAAGCATTCTAAGGGAAAACCGCATAAAAAAGATACCCTATTTCCCAAGCCACAAGCCGCATTGCACTAGGGAAAATTGATATTTCCATTCTTACAATCATACAGAATTTGGTTCGCTCTTTAAAACACATTTACATCAATTCTAAAAAAATAATTTCAACACAACAACTATGCTTTTTGGGTACTATTGGATTCCAAACCACCTTACCGCAAGAAGACATGCAGTAGAAATTATTAGACGCAGCATTATACACAAATCTAAAGAAAAATTGACACAATGATCCAAATACTTAAATCTACATCAGCAGAAAGATCCTGTTTCTTTCAGAGTTGCTGGGTGGCAAGATTTGGTCATTGAGGTTCACATTGAAATTTCTAAGATGGACAAATTCAAAAGTGAAAAGCGTTTTCAAGATCGAACCAAGGATAGAGAAAAAAGATCAACACAAGATCACGGAAATCTCAAGATAGACAACCAAAACAAAAATAATTATGTAAGTTCCTTTGCCAACAGTTTAAAATAAAAACATTATTCCCTTAAATATTTGCAAACTTTAAGAGAAAAATAATATTATTTAAACTAGTTTAAAGGCCTCATACTATCCACTAAAAGTCTTTCTCAAATTTAATGTTTCATTGGCAACAAAGAAAGTAAGCATTACAAATCTGATTTTCACACAAGCAAAATATACCAAGACAAACCACCTCCCCAAATAATTGGAAGTTTTCCAATTATGGCCTTGTAGAGCTAAAACAAATTAGGAAAGAAATTTCCAGTACAAGTTGGATCTGTTATGATGATGCATAGCAAATTTGTTCCCAATGCATATATACTAAATATATTTAGTATAAGAGAGTTCAAATTGATAATGTAAAGACAATAATGAATACACGGTGATTAATCTATAAATCTTCTTTAACTATCATTTAGAAAGTTCTTCTATCTTAGTCTCCAGTATGAGTTTTACTTAGATGTGAACTTGATCAAGAGAGTGCGAAAAGGGAGTACAACTTAAGGTGTAAAAAATAGAATGAACACTTAACTGTTCATTTCCACGAGGACCTCCAGAACACGATGCCAAAACCTCTTCAGTAATAACCTGAGAACCAACATTGCGAGCAATAGACTGCAAATGGGGAAAATTAAAAGGTTGAAGCTTCAATACAGGATCAGCCAATGCAGATTGATTGGTAGAGAATACTACGTCAGCAATAAACAAGACATATTCAACAAGAACATGTCAAAAATAACACTAAATATTTGACTATGGGGCAACTGGAATTCTGCAAGCATATGCCCACTATACTATGCAAGACCGTAGAGCACTAAGTTTCATCTGGACATGTCTCAGAGTTCACAAGGCAAATGGAATAGAAGACGCCAACAATCTTAACTATGTAGGTCTTTTAAATAACCAAATAAACTCAGAAATAAGATGTATCCATGATGACTCCATTTAAAATCTATTATAAAAGTAGTTGCAGTACTGACTCACTAAAAAGTCTAGAAGATGTATCTTGTGATGACTCCATCCTGACATTGTTTTTAAAGGTAAGGTAAGGAGAATCGAACTTGAGTCTCTTTGTTAGGGGAATGTGACCTAAAGCCACTGGGATGTCCCCTAGGGCCTAGGGGAAATGACTCCATCCTGACATCCAACATTCACCAGCTCCTTTATTTTTTCTTAATTTTTCATTTACAACTTAGAAAGGGTATTTAGTTATATTAGGACTAAACTTACCAATTTCTATGAAGAGTTAACATATATATAGACTAGGAAGCACGGATACGGATATAGATACAGGATACGGAGATACGCCAAAATCTAAAAAAGTAGGATACAGGTACAGCGGGGATACGTTTGTAAAAAAAAATTATTTTTTATAATTTTAATAATGTAATATGCATGAAAATAAAACTTCAAGCAAATTAACAAATAGAGGGATTCTTATTAAGCTAAGAGTCTTCAAACATTCATAAAACATTCATAAAACATCCAAAACTAAAAGCAAAAGCAAATGCAAATGCAAATTAAACAGCATCCTTACATGCCAACACCAAAAAATGAACGAGAGCAGGGAGAAGAAACATGAGAGAGCGAGAGAGACAATAAGTATACATCAATTTGACAAATTCTATTATTTTAAGAGGGACTTACGTGTCGGTTCTAATAGGTAGACTTATTGTCCAATAGGTCGACTTATTGTCCAATAGGTCCTACGATAATTAAAAGCGTTTTTCATCAAACACTATTAAAAATTGTCACTAATTGTTAATTATCAGCAACAGTTTAAAAATTGACACAAAAAATGTCACTAAGTTTTAGAGACAGTTTAGAAAAATCTTCACAAAAAAGTCGCTAATTTTCAACTTTCAATGACAGTTAATGTCACTAATTGTAAGTTTTAGCAACAATTTATAAAAAGCGTGACCAGAAAAAAGTCATTAATTGTCAATTTTTAGTGACATGCAAAAAATCATTACAAAAAATTGTTTTTAGTGACAATTTTATTAGGACTTATTTTTAATAGGATTTGATGAGAATTAAGTCCAACAATTAGGACTTACTGGTAGTTTACCCTTACTTTTTAACTCTCACTATATTTCTCTTATCATAGAACTAAACAAAGTATTACAAGTAATATGTAACTTCGAATATCCGATACTTCAAAATTAAATATCCGATACTCCAAAATTAATTAAGAAGTATCCGATACATATCTGCGAGTATCCAAGGAGTATCGTTATCTGATATCGGATACGTCTCCCTTTTTTTTGAAGTATCCGTACTTCATATAGAAGACCAACATTCAAGAGAAAAATAATAGACAATAGGCTGTGCAAAGGAAATAGGCTTACATGAAAGATAGTGGAGATTTCGCTGGTAACTGATTCTACATTCGATTCAGACATCCTATTCAGAAGTCCTGGTGCATGCTAAATTTTATTAACAAAATGTATTGCAAATATTGCAAAATCTGATGGTAATAACATGATATGCCAAACTTCAATGCAAAACTCAATCTACATACCTCGTACCCTTCTACGAATTTGCGAAAACTCTTCTGATTCCTTTTCGACACGAGATCTCAGGTGTGGGGCTACATATTTTGTATTTCTATCCAACTGAGGTGCCTTCGCAAGAACTTTTTCGAGTGGCATCTTAGCATGAAAAGCTTCCACTGGCTCAGCTACTACAACCTCTATGTCACCTGCCATTTCAGCTTCTGGCTCTTGCTCTGATGTTTTGATCTTTTTACATTTCTTACGTGAAGAGCTGTTCTCAAAACTCTTCCTTGAAGCTTTGTCATCTAGACTGTCTTCAGTCTCAAAGGAATCAAGAACAGATGGAATTCCTTCAATTAACAAATTGATGTCATCATCATCACCCCGTAAATTCCCCTCTTTAACCTTGAGTTTCTTAGCAAGTTTTTTTTCCAAATACAAATCTGCCTCGGCAGATGCACCATCTTGTTGGGTTTCCATTTCTAGATATTCTTCAAACTTTGTTTTCTTTTTTTTCACCATCTTCACTGCAACTGAATCAGTATTTTTTGAAGAATCCAGTTTAGTCTTAAATTTTTTCAGTTTGGTAGGCTGCTCTGTGCTTTGATCTGTCTCATAGCAAGTTTCAGCTGGCTTAGATAATCCAACCAGTGTCTCCACTGCCATCTCACTACCAAGCTCTGGTTCTTTCTCTAATGACATACTCTTCTTACGCTTCTTAGATGCAGAACTGTTCTTAGATCTCTTCTTCAAAATTTCTTCAGGTACTGGATTTGGTTCTTCCTCAAAGAAATCAATCACAGATGGAATTCCTTCAAATAACATATTGATGCCATCATCCACTCCCCTTAATTTCCCATCCTTCACCCTGAGTTTCTTTGCAAGTTTCTTTTCCAATTCACAATCCTCCTCAGCAGAAATGACATCCTGTTGAATTTCCATTTCAAGAAACTCTTCAAACTTACTTTTTGAATCTTTCTTTAACCCCTTATTTCTTTCTATGATCTTTTCTGTAGTATGATTAGGAAATGCTGAAAAATCCAATTTAGCTTCAGAGGTTTTCAACATAGCAGGTTCATCTGTGCTAATATCTCTTTCATAGTCAGGTTCTATCTGCAAAACTTCTCTTCCTTTTGGTCTCTCAATAGATGAATTTTGTGATTTCTTCACATTTTTTGGATTTGAATTCCTTGAAATTTTCTTCAATTTGCGATATTCCTATTAACGTAAATAGATTTTTATGTTAAAAAAAAATAATAATCCTGCATGTAAATTTGCAATAGCTTTTCTAGATAAGGAAAAAGGAAATAAAAGAAGGATGTAAAAAGAAAATATAAAGTAACAATGTCACACTTGATTTTCAATCCATGAATCAAACTTTTTCTTATTCTTCGTTAATCGAGCTTCTTTATGACGCTCTTTGCGAGATTTCTGTCCCAGTTTGTTATCTACAGCTGAATCAAAAGCAAATTAGAAGAAAATCTTCTTCACTGTTAATGAAAATCAAAGCAAGTTTTGAATAGATAAGTGGGACTCCCAAAAGAAAATTCTTACTCATGCTTCTAACTTAGCTTCACAGAAGGAAACAACTGCCAAAAACAAAAATAGGAAACAAGAAAAGAAATGTTAGTTTGCTAGTTTAAAATTGACCAAGTGTATATCAATGTAAATATAGTGAAAGAGTTTATTGTAACTAGTAAAACAAGCACAAGGGAAAAAAAGAACTTATTCAGCTATTATGAACTCTAAAAGAAAATATTTCTATTAAAAGAGAATAACCTTGAAATCCATAATGACATAATGAGAATTAATATTCCTGTTGAAGTTTTTGAACCTTTATAAATGGATAAGCAACCAATAATGATAAAACTCATGATGCTTCGGATATGGTATTCAGTTGATGCACATTTTCAAACACCTAAGAGACAAGGGAATGAATGGCATCATTATTGCTACTGTTTTAGGGCAAAACAAACTTAGAAACTTTGAAAGCAATACTGGCAATAGAGAGCTCTAGCATTAACTTTCCATTTCAATCACAGCCAATCAAACACACCCAAAATACATACAATGGATTGAAGCCAAAGAAACTAAGAAACCCCAACATCCAAATTGTTGGGGAGTGTCGATCCTAATAAGCATTGGGCACTGATTTCTATGTATTTATAGTAGTGGGGATGCAACTATCTTTGTACCTCTACTAACATGTTCTGATCATAGTGAAAACTGCAACAGCAGTGCGCATAGTCTTAATTTTTTGGGTGAACAACAAAAATCTTGTGTTCTTTGTATGTAAGTGTGATTTATCGTTCTTGTGCGCTTGTTCTTCTTTGTGTTTCGTGTCTCACCAATATTGATTAGGTGTTACGGATTCCAAACACAAACTACGCCCAATGAAAATAACTACAAAACACTTATGCTCCGTTTGTTTGGGCACTTTCAAATAGAAAACAATTTTTTACGGAAAATTTTTTCAAAAAAAGCTTGCTAGAGAAAACATTTTTTTCTATGTTTGGTGGTGGTGAAACGAAGGTGGAGGTGGAGGTGAAGGTGGTGGGGTAGCGGTGGCGGTGACAACAACGGTGATGGTGGTAGTGGCCATGGTGATAGTGGTGTAGTGGTGTAAGTGACATTGGTAAGATTTTAGTTCGAAAAGCGTTTTCCGTCTTTTAAAAGTGGAAAACATTTTCTATTTTTACAAGTTTGTTTTCTGTTGACCATGGAAAATGTTTTCTGTTGACTTTCATTTTCTATTGTACCAAATACTAGAAAATACAAAAAACATTTCCCAGAAAATGTTTTCCACCCAAACATACGAAGCCTTATTAAAATCAAAGAAACTCACAAAGCCCATTTGAATCCCTCAAAATAAATAAATAAATAAATAAATCCACTAAATATCACACAAAATTAAAGCTGAAAGAATAACTCTTGTCAACACAAACAAAATAAATTTAAAATAAAAAAAAGAAAAAGATTAGGCAAGCTATTTTATCATATCACAACCAAACAATATGCACCGCAGCCACAAAACTAACAATATGTATCTGACTAGTTTCCTTCTTCTCCTGATATATATTATCATATCACAACCATCAAAACCCACAACCCCGTTGTAGACTAACCTAAAAGGGCATATTAAAAATATTTCAAAATTTTCAACTTCATGAAAGCTCAATATTCATTCTAAAATTTGTCTAAATTCTCTCTTCACAAACAAACAACATATATTTTAAAAAAAAAAAAAAAAAAAACATATTTGTATAAATTTCAAAGAATATATCATAGGCTCCACCTCCAAATCAAATCCACCCTATAGGATATAATTGAAACTGCCCAACAAGGGAAGGCTTATGAACAATATTTCCTTTCAGGGCTCAATCTTAACAGTAGATAAGTTTAGATTTGATTTAAGGGATAAATAAATTTTGACTAAGAGATAAAAGGTTGCTTGTTAAATTAAACTAATTGATCATAGAGAGAATAGAACTTCCAAGTAGAAGAGATAGGGCACAGACATTAGGGCAAAGTTTCTTGCATTAAAATGCAATAAAGAAACAGAGAGAGAGAGAAGTCAACCAACACTGAAGAAATAGCCAGACAGACCCCGACTTCTCTCGCTCACGTCGGAGGCCGTTCGCAGCGCTGTGCATGGCGTAGGTAGGGAAGGAAGAAGAATTGATATCAGAAAAGAAATCTGATTTTTGCAATTCAAACCCAAAAGTTCATAATATTTTAAGTTCAGGCTCTTAAGTTTGCAGTCACATGCAGTCACATGCGAAAACAACAACCTCAAGTCCAATGTCGATTCCCCCAAAACCCCCCTAGTGCAAACCCTTTAAGCCAAATCATTTGTGGCTCAAAAACAAAGTCCCCAAGTATCGGCATAATAAAGTACATATAGAGCAATTTCCAAAACACCAAGAAGTTGAAGCTTTAAAAAGCTCCAAATTAAAGCCTACTTCAAAGAAAGCAGAATCACCAACTACTACACCTTAACTTGTGATGGAATAAGCAGAAATCACAGAACACAATAGAGACCCCTGAACCAATCACAGCTCTGTAATTTGGGGTTTTTTTTGTAGACCTAAGAAGGTCGATTGTTTCTCACAGAATGGCAATGAAATGGAAATGGTGGGTATTCAAAATGTGATAAACAAGTGAAAAGGGTCGAAAAGCGACAGAGAAACGTGAAACAGAGGAGCAAAAAGAGATCAGAGAACACTCTGTTCACGTGAATCAGAGGCAAGCGACCCGTTTCAATCATTAAATCTCAGATCTCTCTCTCTCTCTCTCTCTCTCAGTGAATTCACTTTCACATGAACTTCACGGTTGGCTTCTTTCTCGAAAACGACTTTCACATGAACTTCATGGTTGGCTTCTTTCTCGAAAACGATAGAAGATGGTTGTCACAGATATATATATATATATAGAGAGAGAGAGAGAGAGTAACCTGGTAAGGAGATACAACGATGAAGAGAGCCGAAGATGCAGAGGCAGCAAAACAGGGATGAAGTGAATGGAGATGGTGGTTAGGGTTTCGTTACTGATTGGGAGTGTAGAGAGTGAGGCGATACAACGATGAAGAGAGCAACCAATCTGACTATGGGGAGTCGAATGAAGAGAGCAACGATGAAAAGGAATCGATTGAGGAATTCATTTTTGATTTAGGTAATTTTGTGGCTTTTTTCTTTCTGTGACCAATTCGTTTTTGATTTACGTAATTTTGGTACATTATGCCTTTTTTCTTTATGTTACCGCAATAAGTTAGTCACTAAAAGTTTTGACATCTCCCTTTTTTTTAATTTTTCTCTCCCGTCATTACTTTCCGTGACTATATTATTCTTTTTGGTCGCAAAAAATTACTTATTAGTCACCAAAAAATTGTTGGTCGCAAAAACAATCTATCAGCGACCAAAAAAATGTTAGTCATAGAAAGTGAACTATTTGCAACCAACTCAAAAAAGGTGGCCACCAAAAGTGTTTTTTTCTTGTAGTGGGGTGTCTTGCAAAAGCGGCGGTACCTACACTCAAGCAAGTTAGGATAGGTCCGAAAATAGTGAATTGTATATTTATTGGTTATGCACAGAATAATAGTACATATAGGTTTTTTGTACAAAAGTATGATATTTCAGATATCCACAAGAATATCATAATGGAGTCAAGGAATGCGTCCTTTTTTGAAGACGTATTTCCTTGCCGAACCCGAGGAGAGGATTAAAGTTCTGAGAAGGAATTTGAAGATGATCAAGATGAGGAAATAGATGAGCCAAGGAGTCAGAAGGCTAGAACTGCCAAGTCCTTTGGCCCGGACTTCTTGACTTATATGTAAAGGGAGAACCTCGAACTTTTCATGAAGCCGTGACTTCACCTGAAAATTCGTTATGGAAAGAAGCAATTAAGAGTGAAATAAACTTCATCTTACAGAATCGTACTTGGAAGTTGGTTGATTTACCCCCAAGCAGTAAGGCCTTGGGGAACAAGTGGATTTTTAGAAGAAATATGAAAGAGGATGGGTTGATTGATAAGTATAAAACTAGGCTAGTTATCAAAGGATACAGGCAGCGAGAAGGCCTAGCTTACTTTGATACGTATTCACCTGTGACAAGGATTACATTCATTCACAAGTTGATTGCGATAGCCGCTTTACGTGGTCTGGAGATACATCAAACAGATGTAAAGACAGCTTTCTTAAATGGAGATTTAGATGAAGAAATCTATATGGAACAACCTCGAGGGGTTTTTAGCTCCAGGACAAAATAAGAAAGTCTGTAAGCTTGTTAAGTCATTATATGGTTTGAAGTATTATATGGTTTGAAGTAAGCTCCTAAGCAACGGCATGAGAAGTTTGACAACACTATGTCGTCAAATGGATTTAGAATCAATGAGTGTGACAAGTGCGTATATGTTAAAGACACTGATAGAGGTTATATCATTTTGTGTCTATACGTAGATGACATACTTATTGTTAATAGTAATGATGAAATGATTCGAACTACTAAGAAATTATTAAACTCTAAGTTTGACATGAAAAATATGGGTCTTGCAGATGTCATTCTGGGTATTAAGATTACCAGAACATCTAGTGGTATTATACTTTCTCAGTCTCATTATGTTGAGAAGATAATTGAGAAATTTGGCAAATCAGATACAAGTGTGTTTAGGACACCGGTAGACATGAGTTTTCATTTGACCAAGAATAATGGTGAAAGTGTCTCTTAGCTAGAATATTCCCAGGTGATTGGAAGTTTGACGTATCTGATGAGTTGTACAAGGCCGGATATAGCATACTCTGTTTGTAGGCTTAGTAGATATACGAGTAATCCGAATGCCACTCATTGGAGAGGCATTACACGGGTGTTAGGTTGTCTACACTACACCTGGGATTATGGGCTGCATTATACCAGAAACCCAGCGATACTAGAATGGTATAGTAACGCTAATTGGATATCTAATATAAAGGACTCCAATTCCATTAGTGGTTATGTGTTTACCCTTGGAGGGGCAGCCGTGTCTTGGAAATCATCCAAGCAAACGTGTATATCGAGATCAACGATGAAATTTGAGTTTATTGCTTTAGATAAAGCAACTGAAGAAGCTGAATGGTTTCACCAGGTCATTGAGGATATTCCACGTTGGCCGAGACGTGTCCTTGCTATTTGTATTCATTGTGATAGCCAATCGGCGATTGGACAAGCACAGAGTCATATGCATAATGAAAATTCTAAACATATCCGTCGTAGGTATAATTCCATACGACAATTACTCTTTAATGAAGTTGTCTCTCTAGACTATGTAAAGTCTAAGGACAACATTGCAGGTCCGCTAACCAAAGGGTTAACTCGAGAGTTAGTAGAAACGTCATCAAGAGGAATGGGGTTAAGGCATTTAGTAATATTACCGGAATGGAAAACCCAACCTAGCTGACTGGAGATCCCAAGATCTAGGTTCAAAGGGACAACCTAATTTTGTGTAATGGGTGAGTCACTAAAGAGGTAAATCCTCTTACCCATTCCTTTGTGTAGTGATATCTTGTGGGGATGGAAGGTTAAGCTAATGCTTTTAATGACCTAAGTGATATGACTAATCAACCATAGTATAATGAGATACTTTATATAGGTCACCTATGTGAGTGTGAAATGGGGTTGCTTTTTTAAGAATTGGTAAGGCTGAATTCTTTAAAAACACTCATTGAACCAGGCTAGTGTTCTAGGGCCATACCGAACACATCAGTGAGAACAAGAACAATGGTTGGACTAACTCCTGTGTGAGGTCTATTGTCTTGATTTACATAAATGGCAAAACAGTCCAAGACATCATGTTCACTGGTCAGCTAGTAAATCCAATAGACTTTCACTACGAAAGGTTCAAGGCCAACAGTTACCTTTTCTGATGCAAGGTTAGTCTTTGTGCTCTCTCTGCAAGTGTTTGTTGTAAACGTTGTCTATTTTTCTTTATTCGGTCAATTTTTATTCATGTGGAGGATTGTTGGAAAAAATGGTTTTATAGTGACTTTAATGTGAAATTAAAGTAAGTCCCAACCATTGATTGAGGTGAGATTAAATGAGTTTAGATTATTTGTAACAAGGTTTTTACACCACAAAAAGAATGACAAAAAATTATTAAGATTTGAATGAGAAATTGTCTCATAAAGATGGCCTCATGAATAAGGTATTGAGAATTGTGTATAACTACCAATCCTACATTAATTGTAGAAGAAAACTTTGATAGGTATTTAAACCTCAAGATTTTGATAAGGGCATGAGCTCTTTGGGGTATCCAAATTTTCCAAAGGAAGGGAGTTATAGATGTTTCAAGTATGGGCCTGGGCTAAGACTATATTCCAAGTTGGTTATGCAAAAATTTCCACACGCGCACGCTCCACCAGCCTGGGCCGGGCCGGGTTCTGGTCCACGGATCGTGGATCTTAGACTTGGGCTTAGGCTTGAGGCTTGTTGGAATGGGTTAGGTTTGGGCTGGGACGGTTTAGCGGTCCACCAACCTAATCTTTTTGGGCTAGGTTGCTGCAGATATGTATATATACACATGTGTATAGTGTGTGTAACTCACACATTGAATGTGATGACCGGTACGTAATTCGCCTCATTCCACTTTAAGTTAGGCCAGGTACGCGTTGTTGAAAACTCCTTAAAATCTTCGTATTGTATTTAGTTTGATTCCAAGTATTTCACTTATTCTGTAGGGTGTGAGGTCGGGTTTGGAGTGTCGGGAGTGGAGCTGAAAATTTTCTGGGCTGGAGGACCAGGGCCGCACGTGTGGGGGCCTGGGTCGCACGTGCGGAGAGAGGCCATACGCGCAGGAGATGAGGCCGCACGTGCAGAAAACAGGGGAGTGACCTGGGTGAATATTGAAATAAAAGCACGTGAAGCAGCAAGTGCGAGAGAGGGAAGGCCGTACGTGCGGGGATGAAGACCGCACATGCGGGAGGCACGCTCTGCACGTGCGGGCATGGGTGCCGCACGTGCGGTGGTAGGTGAGTCCGAATTTTTTGCTTTTTGTTCTCTTTGGGCTGATTGTATCTCACTTTTGTTGTAGCTCTCTGTCTAAAAACTCTTTTCTCTTCCTTCTCTCTACATCTCCTACACCAAGCAAGATCAAATCCTTGATCTCTTCAAACCCATTAGAAATTTGCCCTTAGTTTCTTCATCAAAGTTGAAGAACTCCTCGAGGGTTACATTGTGTGCAGTGTAGATTGGGTTTTGGCACTGTTGATTTTAAGGGTTTCATCTCATTTTCTTCTTCAAAACTTGAGGTAGGAATTTTTCTTAGAGTTATATATATATTTTTGCAAGTTTTGGTTAATTTCGAGATTTCCTCTTTAATTGTTTTGAAAATTGGTTTTTGGCTCTAGAAGTTGGTGGTTTTGTAAGAGGAGTTTATCTTTTATTTCTTTTTTAAGGTTTTCTTGAATAGTTGAATCAATTGAATTAAGAATGATGTTTTTGGTGAGGTTTTACTAAGAAATGAAGAAATGTCTAGTTTTGGTCAAAAACCTAGAGATTGGGGTTTTTTTTGGAAAATGTTGAGAATTTATGGATTTTCTTGAGTAAAATGAATGAGTGAGTGGAAATTTCATATTGTTGTTTGCAAATATGGTAACTTCTTTATGCATGAGGATTTAGAGACCTTATTTGAATTTATTGTTAAATGCATATACATATGTAGTTATGAAATGGCAAATTGTTAAGTTCCATGAAATATGAGAATTGTAATTTTGGAAGTTGATGTCCAAAACATTGCATATAGTCTTGAAATGACTAAATTCTTGAGAATTGTACAAGATGAGGAAATGTTGCTATGTGTTTGTGGGGGCCGGATTATTGGAATAATCAGAAGCGTACTCTAGAAGACAGACTTTATAAGGCTCTACTCTACACGATAAGGATGCCGAATAGAATAGATAGGCCGAATAGATACTGAGCTATGGAGCCGAGTAAAAAAGAGGATAATGAGTGACAAGTGGGCCTAGCCACGAGGCCCAGGAAACAAGTATAAATAAAGGAACAACAGACTAAGAAGAAGATGTGAGAATTATTGTGCTTAACTTAGAATACAAGCATTCTTGAGTGTGAATTCTGACTTGTCCGTCGTAGTGCTAATTCCGGCACCCCCGCCCGGAGTATTTATTCCTTTTCAGGTGACCAGAAGAGGAT